GTGTGAAATGATATATATTGGTTTGAGGTTTGATGAAAGGGTATCGCAAAACAGGTGCGATTTACTGATCAAGGCATATGTGTCTCACTCTTTCATGGAATGAATATTCAATGAGATTTGAAAGTATTTTAGGATGAATTCTCTTTACTGCATGCCCAAACACATAGGATTTTCTATGCAATTAAAATTTCAACATATAAATGTCAGTCTAAATTTCATTTATTCATTGTTGTTTGCTGTTGTTATTAAACTCATATATTTCTGTGTGATTAGCAGCTTTTTGACATATCAAATTCTTATAAGTATAATATCCAATTATATATGTTAATCAAAGAATTGTGTTAACAAACCTTTCAGCATTCTTGAAGTTAAAGTTGTCAGGATTAGTCTTCTAATATGTCCCTTTAATTTAAATTACTGACTCTCCCCTCTGTAAGTGTCTCAGGAAAAAAGAAGTTACTGTATGTTCTCAAAAAACTCTTGTAAACCTTGCTGAACTGTATGTTTTGTCTTCGTTTTCATTTTTTTTTTTCTTTTTAGAAATAGTCTGTTTTTTTCTTCCCCCCTCACAAATTTGTCTTCGTGGTTTTGAATAATAAGACTGCCTGTGTCTCTCTTTTTTTTGCCAGCATTTTAGTGCCTGAATCTGTTACTGTATGCATCTTGTATACTTTTATCCTGTATGTGCTTGATCTGCTAGATTTAGGTCAATGTTGTCCTCTGTGATGCCAGCTTTGTTTTATACCTTGTGGAATGTTTATAACTATTAACTCATTCACTGGTTAAACCTTAAATGTTTAATACTGGTTCTGTCCACTTCTAGACTTCCCCATTATAAATAAAAAATCACTCTAGCTTGCCATGAAGTGGTAATGGGGCTGAGTGTCCCTTTCCTTTTGTAGCCATTGGTCATGTTTTGTCCATGTCATGTATTATCAGTTTATATGTATTGGCAACATGTACTTAACAACAAGAACAATGTGTGTGTGTGTGTGTGTGTGTGTGTGTGTGTGTGTGTGTGTGTGTGTGTGTGTGTGTGTGTGTGTGTGTGTGTGTGTGTGTGTGTGTGTGTGTATATGTATATATATGTGTGTGTGTGTGCATGTGTATATATATGTATATATGTATATATGTATATGTTTATATGAATGCATACATATTTATATATATTTATAGATTTATAGTTATATATAATTATATATATTTAAAAATATATTTATAGATGTAATTATATATTTATATATATTTATATATATTTATATATGTATGTGTGTGTGTGTATGTGTGTGCGTGTGTGTGCGTGTGCGTGTGCATGTGCGTGTGTGTGTGCATGTGCGTGGGTGTGTATGAGTGTGCGTGGGTGTGTGCGCATGTGTGTGTATGAGAAATTGAGTGTTTGAGTGCAATAAAAAAATGCATTTAGCAATTCTAAATTTAAATGCACTTACAAGTGTGTAATTTGAATGTGATTTGAAAACTGAATACAAAATGTGATTTGAAAACTGAATACAAAATGTGATTTGAAAATATGAATACAATTAGAAATTTAATTGCAATATGAAATTTGCATATAATTTGAAATATAAAAATGTATGATATACTGCATGTCCAGATATTTCCAATAAAGCATATAATTTGATACACCAACCATGGGTGTTTGTATAATCTTACTAAAATCCAGATAGTGTCTTGTATAACTGGTTTGGACCCATCTGATGGAATAATGATGAAAGAATCATAAAAAATCAGAATAGCACATTTTAAGTGTCCAGTATCCAAAATACAGGATGTTAAGCCTGGCATGTTTTTATAGCCTTAAGAGGCTATGAAAAAATGCCATCATGGAGAGTGGAATTCCTGAAGAAAAAACACCATTCTTAAGGTACAGAATCCCATGAAATGTGTGACTGAAATATGACCACAACCTTCTGCAGCCAAAAGTACTGACCAGCTGATTGATTGTGTTGGTCAAGTTTTGTTTATTGACATTTCCTTGTTTTTAGTTCTCTTAAACAACATGACTTCAGATTTATTTTTTCACTTTTTAAGGTGGCAAGTACATAGAACCATTTAAAAAAGAAAAGGAATAAGAAAAAACAGCTCGATCACAATTTTTGCTTTAGGAGTATCCCTCATGTTACTGTTTGAGTGTTGCATTAAAGGGAGTGATACTTAAGACAACAGATTTATATAAACATCATGCAGCTGTAAACTAAAATGTCCATCGTATAAAAGTTTCCTGTGTATAAATATCTGAAAATTATATAATCATGTAAAGAGTGAGTGAGTGAGTGAGTGAGTGAGTGAGTGAGTGAGTGAGTGAGTGAGTGAATGAGAGAAAGAGAGAGTGAGAGAAAGAGAGAGTGAGTGAGTGAGTGAGTGAGTGAGTGAGTGAGTGAGTGAGTGAGTGAGTGAGTGAGTGAGTGAGTGAGTGAGTGAGTGAGAGAGAGTGAGAGAGAGTATGATTCAAATTAATTACTTTCCTTGTGAACTATTGAGAAAACAATTTGTCCAGTATCAGTGAATGAGTTAAGATTTCCTTGTTTTACTTGTAGTAAGCATGTTTTATACATTTCTTTGGCTCTGCCATTTCAGTACATAGACATATTCTTTTGTAGTTTGTTTTTATGTTCTTAGGCACTACATTTCAATTTTGTTTATTGAAGCCATTTTTTATGGTTTACAATAATTTACATGTCTGTATCTTGTTTCTTCTTTTAACCTTTTTCCATGGAATGTTTTTAAAGTAGAATGTTGTGTTACTAGAAGTGCATTTTGTATGAGTAATGCCTACTATTGCCACTTATTTTTTTGTTGTTATTTATTTATTTTTGATAAGGACAAGTCTTTTACCAAATCAAAAGTAAGATATGAAAATTTGATAGGTTATGATTACGGAGTTTTTTTCTTGATATTCCGCAATTATAACTTTTACAGAAGTTACATAGTCTTGCCCGTGAGGAAGTGATATAAGAAATAAAATGAAAGAAAACTGGCCTCTAAATGCTAAGTATTTACTTTTTTATGAAACCAATTAATAAGTTAAAAGCAAACCAAAGCAGCTGAAATAATTTTCTGTTAAGTGAATTCAGCAAAACTGTTTTAGAGTTTAGCCAAGAAACATTTAACTTCTAAAAGTATAGTGAGACAGACTCTCTTCTCCCAACACCGTCCATACAGAGTTCAGAAGATAAAGGGTTTGAAATGTCTTTTGTTTATTAGCTGATTTATTTACAGTACTTGTTGATTATCTAAGTCATAACATTACAACAGATATAAGGCTTCAGATTGAAAAGTGCTCATAGTCTGCACCCTATCACTGTGGGCCAAAAAAGATATAGGGCACATTGTTTTTTGTGTTTGTCTAAGAAAGGATTGAACCCATTGGATCTGGATGATGTAGCCATCATGTCATGA